ATCATCATCATCATCATCATCATCATCATCATCATCATCATCATCATCATCATCATCATGATGTTGTTGTTAACTTTTAAAAGTGGAAATGGGATGAAGAGTTACTTTTTACTGCTATAATGAACACTACAGTACTTATTGGAATTTGGTATTACAGCGGTAACTAATTACTCTAAAAAGAAATTGTTAGGAAAAGGTCTGCACGTAGTATATCCAAAAGGGTCACAGTTCACTGCCAAAGCAGATACTTCACAGTTAGGGTCTCTCAGGGCAGCGGTGTCCAACCTGTCTGGGACTGCAGACCGGCTGAGCCTCTGAGGAAGGCAGGGCACCCCCCGCTTGCGTGCTCGCTCTTGGGCACATCCAGTCTCTCTCTCTCTCAAGTACATGGGCAAAGCGGTGGGGGAGCAAGCCGGCGAGCACAAGTGCTCCCCCACCCCTTCATGCATGCCCAGGAGTGCCTGCATGCCTGCCTACGAGCCCACCCATTCCTTCATGTGGGCGCTCGGGCACATGAGTGAAGGGGTGGGGGAGCGCTTGCACCAGTGCTGCCACGCACGCACGCAAAGCAGCTGTGGGGAGTGCGTGGGGGGGGGTCTGTCTTCACAGCCACGGACCACGCACCAGGCCGCGGACTGGGGGTTGATGACCTCTGTCTTAGGGGGATACGGGTGGACAAATGACTTGAGTTGCTCCACTGCTGACAGGGCTGTATCACACCATTTCCCAAGAGCAAAATCAGACATGTCTTCTGGGTTATCATTGTAGGCAGAGAAGCAGAAGGCACTAGAAAGCACAAGAATTAAAAACAGACCCAGAAAACAGTCAGTCACAGCATGAGAGGCATTAGCAACTGAGACAGGGACACTGGGGTGCTTTTGCTTGTAACATGGCTTCGTAAATGCTACTTTGTAGTCTATTCATTTTGGAAAGACGAACTGGTTCCTGCTAGCTGTGCCAACAATGCTAACAAATAACCTATGACACTAAAAGTAAGCAATGGTGATCAACACCTACAGTGGTGCCTCGCTTAGTGATGCTAATTTGTTCCGAAAAAATCACTGCTAAACGAAAACATCGCTAAGCGAAATAAAAAAGCCCATACAAACGCATTAAAATGCGATTAATGCATTCCTATAGGCTTAAAACTCACCTTTAAGCGAAGATCCTCCATAGCGCCGCCATTTCCGGTGCCTCTAAAGTGAGGAATCCATCCCATTTTTAAACAGCCGATTAGCTGCGCGAAAATGGGGGCTTTGCAAGGATCGCTTCCCTGCGATCATCACAAAGCTAAAATACCCCATAGGGACCATCACAAAGTGATTTCATCGCTATATGGAGCAATCGCTATGCGAGGCACCACTGTATTTTGATGATCCTGCCTGGATGCTCCCTCAGAAATAAGTTCAGCCAAATAAGGATAGGAATGAACTCCCTTTACACATAGGTGATTAACCTAGAAGACCAGGACCCCTGATGAATACAGAGGTCTGATGACTGGCAAAAGGCTGAATCCTGTATTGAATTTTATTCCTGTAATAAGAAAAGCAAAGGAGTCTTCTTTAACAGGTAGAACTAGGACCTTGGAAATAGGCCTCTGTCAGGTAGATGCAGGTCAGGTGCTTCCTATGCGGTGATCTGAGTGCCTCCACCTGACGTCCTGTGTTCGCACGAAAATCGACCAACTTTAGGCCCAGGAGTGCCCGACAATCTTCATTCATCTTAGACACAACGAGAACTATGGCGAATATACAGTGGTGCCTCGCTTAACGGGTGCTCCGTTTAGCGATGAAATAGATTAGCGACGAGTTTTTTGGAGTGTTTTTGCACTTCATTTAGCGATGGTCCCTATGGGCGATTTTCGCTTAGCGATGGTTGGGACCATGCTTCGCATAGCGATTAGATTCTGTGTCCCCTGTTTCACTTAACGATGGTTTAAACAGCCTCATGTTTGCTGTTTTTTAAATGTTTTTCTGTTATTTATAAAGTTTACTGTTTAAAATGTTTGAAATCATAAAGTGCACTTAACCCTTTGTTAACCAAATTTGACTTTGTTCTGACTCTTTTTTAATTTGTTGTTGTATTCCCCCGCCCATTGAGATGCATTGAATAGGTTTCAATGCATTTCAATTGGGGAACCGCGTTTCGCTTAGCGATGTTTCCTATGGCGATTTTCGCTTAAGGATGGCAATTCGTTCCTATTGGAATGGGTTATCTGGTTTTCAATGCATTTCAATGGGAAACCGCATTTCGCTTAGCGATGAAATCACTTAGCAGCGATTTTTTCAGAACGAATTAACATCGCTAAGCGAGGCACCACTGTACTTGAAAATGTTTCTCCAGGGGTGGTAGGAAAGAGGTGGTTCTATGGTACTAATGTCCAAAAGGTGCTGAAAGGCTTAAAGTGTCCTGAGGTACTTTTCCCCATCCTTGGAGGATGGAACTGGGAAGCTGTGTCTCTAGAGTCGCAAAAGCATTTGAAAGCATGGTCAGTTGCAACAGTTTCAAGCACCGAGTTCCTATGATTGCCACAAATCAAATTGTGTCCCAGTAGGGATCACTTTCCCTGCTGCTCTCCACATCTAGCAAGTCACTGGCAGGCCTACTCTACCAAAAAGAAGAGGAACACTCTTCATAAAGGGAAGACAGAAATCTTTCTCTCTCTTGGATTTAGCGTCTTCCTTCTTTGGGGCAAAAGGAAGGACTTTATTATCCTTAGATACCCACCAAACCTGCACGGCATACAAAAGATTTCTCAAACATCTTAGACTTCATGAAAAGTATAGTGAAGAATGGCAATAGATTGTTGACCCACATCTCAGTGTTTCAACCTCAGCTCCCTTAGGGCCACAACAACTGATGTCACAGTTCTAGTTGAAAATTGGATGTGGTGTACAAAATAATCAGCAAGCAACTCTACCACTTTGACCAGTTTTTTCAGGTCTGTATGAATGTTCTGAGATGTGGTAAGACCTTCAGGTAATACAATTCAGGACCATAGTATATATATACACATTTGTGCTACTGTAGAATTTGCTGAAGCTGCCCTAATGAGTAGGACTAAGACTTGCAGCACTGTACCTCTACTCAATTAAGTCAACCAGTGCCTCACTCTCTTCCTGGATAATAACTTTATTAAAAGTAACACATTCAGATGATCAACAGTGGATACATTGCACCCAGTCACAACTTCAAGTGGAACAGAGTAAAATTTTTCGCTTAAAACATTTGTCTGCTTCCTTCTGTTAGGCATTCAGCAGATATGTGAAGTTTAAAAGTTTCTTAGGTATTTTTCTGATATTTCCTGACTCACATATTTTTCTCTCTCTTTCAGTTTAATACATCCGTAACTGCTACAGACTTAAAGTGGAAATAGATTGTTATCTCATTAAGTGATGCTATCATCACCTCTGTTTTCTGACAGACTGAACTGCCTTTCCAGTTAGAGCTTTGGCCACAAAGGAAGGCAGCCAAAACCACTGCAGGCTTTCCCTGTTCTCACCCTAGTGAAGGTTTCATCCGGCTCTGGACTCTCCAGTCAGAATGAAGGTTGTGCCACTCTTTTGGGTCTTTCTTGGAGGAGTCTACAAGATGGTACCAGGATATTCCTATTCAATTCTTTGTCTGTTGATCTTTCACAGACGTCTATTATTGCCCCCAAGTAATATCACATATACATGAAACCACTTGGAGAAGATGTCAAAGGATATGAATTGATACCACCAGTGTTCAGATGACAATTCTGTCTTTAGGTCTTGGTTTTCCATATTATATGAACCCCCTTCTCTTTCATATATGCTACGACTGGTCATGAAAGTTCTCAACAAAAGCTTTCTGGTCTGTCCCACTAACAATTCATTAAAGAAGGAACTTCTTTCTCAACTCTGGAACTCTCTTAACCTGAAGACCCACCATGTTCCCTCTTCATTAATCTACTACCTTTCTGTTTAGGAGGGAACTCACTCTTGGTGACTGCCTAAGTGTTTCTTCTGGTTACTTTACTACCGTAACAGCACTGCAAATAATCTTAAGAAATCTTGGTGGGATTTCCCATTATATTTCTTGTTTTTAGAATTTTGTTACTGCTCTACTGCATATGCAAATATTTAATGTAGTTACCCTTGCAACATTATATTTGGAAAGATGGGCTATGTTTAAAATGAAACAAAAGCAAAGACACATTTTGTGAACCAGCCCTCTTAATTGTCAGGAATTTACAATGGCAACCAAGAAAGTGGACACCAAGTGAGGTTTTTCCAAAATTAAATAATAATATATATTGAAATAAATTATTTTACCTTAACTCTTGAAGATTTTCTAGAACCTTCCCGAAAAGCCTGAAATACAATTTAAAAAGTAAATTTGCATGATTATTTGACTCTAGAACACACATTTCCTGGAGGAACCACAGGCAACAACAGTTCATTTCAGAACATATACATCTTGAACATGAGCTCAATAGATTTTAATTCATACATATGCATTTTAATCAGTAAAACAAAAATATTAACAGTGGCTTGCTGTTTTTACATGAGTTTTGCATGACTTTTTTGTTACTACTGCAGACTCTTAAGATATTCATCAAATTGTTGAAAACATGGCAATGCAGCTATAAAATGCAATGCATAGTCCTATCCTACCCCCATCTTTCTTTGCCTGAACCTTTGACTCGACCTTGTTTCTTTACCTGGGGGTTGGGAACAATGGAAATGATTTTATCTCACCTTCCCCCAGGTAGTTTCTGGTCCCAGTTCTTTTACTCCTATTGAGCAGGAGATCAACCTTGACACATGCCCCACATTCTCCAAATTCTGAATTTAACCTTGGTTCATTAAAGTCCTTCACTGTTACACTTCTTGAGATCAGCCAGACAAAGCTTCATAATCATAATGAGAAGTTGAGCAATGAATTAAATTACCTTTTTACACTTTGCGATGTTTTGCTCTTTCTCCCCACTTTTTTTCCGTTTCTTATCTGTAACCTTGGTGACTCGTGTAGCAGTTAGAGTGATTGTTGTTGGTGTGTGTTGGAAAGCAGTATACAATTCTACAGGAACCTCATCTCCACTTTCTGTTGCACTAGTATCGCCATCTTTAAGAATACAAAGGAAGGAAAGAAATACATCTTACAATCTTTATTTAATACTGAATACCTTTTAAATGAATGTCCTTCCTCACTTACAATAGTTATGACACATATTCTAATACAGTAATAACAAAATCTAAGGAGATGGTAATAAAATCCAAATTGTTGTAGTTTAGTTGTGTCCGACTCTTCATGACCCCATGGACCAGAGCATGCCAGGCCCTCCTGTCTTTCACTGCCTCCTGGAGTTGGGTCAAATTAATTTTGGTCGTTTCGGTGACACTTTCCAACCATCTCGTCCTCTGTCGTCCCCTTCTCCTCTTGCCTTCACTCTTTCCCAACATCAGGGTCGTTTCCAGGGAGTCTTTTTTTCTTATGAGATGGCCAAAGTACTGGAGCCTCAGCTTCAGGATCTGTCCTTCCAGTGAGCACTCAGGGTTGATTTCCTTCAAAATGGATTGGTTTGTTCTCTTTGCAGTCGAGAGCCTCCTCCAGCAACACAATTAAAAACCATCAATTCTTCAGCGGTCAGCCTTCTTTATGGTCCAGCCCTCACTTCCATACATTGCTACTCGAAAAAACATAGCTTTATGCGGACTTTTGTTAGCCAGGTGATGTCTCTGCTTTTTAAGATGCTGTCTAGGTTTGTCATCGCTTTCCTCCCAAGAAGCAGGTGTCTTTTAATTTTGTGGCTGCTGTCACCATCTGCAGTAATTATGGAGCCCAAGAAACTAAAATCTGTCACTGCCTCTATATCTTCCCCTTCTATTACAAGGTTCATTAATTCCTCCTCACTTTCTGCCATCAGAGTGGTATCATCTGCATATCGGAGGTTGTTGATATTTCTTCCGGCAAATCTTAATTCCGGCTTGGGATTCATCCAGTCCAGCCTTTCGCATGATGTATTCTGCATATAAGTTAAATAAGCCGGGGGATAATACACAGCCTTGTTTTACTCCTTTCCCAATTTTGAACCAATCAGTTGTACCATATCCACTTCTAAATGTTGCTTCTTGCCCCACATATAGGCTTCTCAGGAGACAGATAAGGTGATTAGGCACTCCTATTTCTTTAAGGACTTGCCATAGTCTGCTGTGGTCCACACAGTTAAAGGCTTTTGCATAATCAATAAAGCAGAAGTAGATGTTTTTCTGGAACTCTCTGGCTTTCTCCATAATCCAGCGCATGTTAGCAATTTGGTCTCGAGTTCCTCTGCCCTTTTGAAATCCAGCTTGTACTTCTGGGAGTTCTCGGTCCACATACTGCTGAAGCCTACCTTGCAGGATTTTGAGCATAACCTTGCTAGCGTGTGAAATGAGTGCAATTGTATGGTAGTTGGAGCATTCTTTGGCACTGCCCTTCTTTCAGATTGGGATGTAGACTGATCTTTTCCAATCCTCTGGCCACTGTTGAGTTTTCCAAACTTGCTGGCATACTGAACGTAGCACCTTAACAGCATCATCTTTTAAGATTTTAAATAGTTCAACTGGAATGCCATCACCTCCACTGGCCTTATAGTTAGTCAAGGTTTCTAAAGCCCACTTGACTTCACTCTCCAGGATGTCTGGCTCAAGGTCAGCAACCACACTATCTGGGTTGTCCGGGATATCCAAATTTTTCTGGTATAATTCCTCTGTATATTCTTGCCACCTCTTCTTGGTACCTTCTGCTTCTGTTAGGTCCCTACCATTTTTGTCCTTTAAATAGATGACTGTAAATCAGTAAAATTTTATAGTTGCAAAATGTTTTTAAGGGGAAAGGAGAAAATCATACTAAGCTTCCATTCCAGTTAATTCACTCAGCATCATTTTCATTTTTTCAAAAGCTTTACAAAATTCAAAAAGCACTAAATACAATTTTAATCAAACCAAAGCTGAGGGATCTAACTTATTTACATTAGCCTGATCCAAATGTACTATTTGGTTTGAAGGAAGTTTTTCCGATACAGAATCCATGTTTATCAGTTATGAAAAAACTTTACCACGAGAATACTACCAAAAAAACAAAGAATTTCAATCTTACTAGTAAAAAGAAGGCCAAATAAAACCGAAGCCATTTTTGTAAAAATCTGAACGCTTTATAATAATGTATCCTTTCCTATGTGTTCGCCTAATACACTTATAGCAACTGTGTTTTCTTTTCAGGTGACTTTTTTTAATACCACTCTATAACCAGTCGAAAACATATTTAGGGATGACTAGAAAACAGCATGTACAACAATAACTTTCACTGCTACTGTCTTCACTGCTGATGAGGAAAATCACTACTGTTAATCAGTCATTTGTGACTACAGAAAGGCCTACCCACAAGCCCTCATCACCTTTATGTGAGCACAAATTATGACACTGAGCATCATCTCCCAGATTTAGAAGCTGTACCTAACAAGTAGCTTATCAAGTTGGTATCAATCTGGCTTATCAAGGCACCTGTTGAGTAAACTTAATGGCATAATCTAAAAAATGTTGATATTAGTATATGTAATTTCTCATCCAGTATCCACCTTCTAGTAGATGGGGGTTTTGGGGCCAATTTGGTTTACAGTAAGCTAAAAAGAGACCATATCTTTCCAGAATCAGCCAATCTGAGCTCACTGAAATATACGAAAATCCTTATGCAAAATAGTAGTGTAGTGTAACACTCAAAATATCCTTTGATTTGATCTTCTGGGAATATCTGAAATCTGATCATAAAACGTAAGGTATACTAATCAATCTATTACAAACAAAAATAAAAACCAGGAAAACAGTTCAGCTGTAAAATGAAAAGCAAAATAAAAGTACCACAAGCTAAAAACAACCCACATTTCTTTCAAAATAGATGCTGTCAAAGGTTATACTACAATGTGCTGATTTGGTACCTGTTCCCCCTTTCAATGCATGTAAAATGTAGATCTAATATCTTGCATCATATCTTAACCACTGCTTTATCAAACCAAAGCCTCACCTAGCCTAGCATCCTGTTCCGCTCAGCAACCAACCAGTTGCCTATGGAAAGCCAGGGCAGGAGGAAAACAGACCAATAGCTTTCCTGCAATTAATATTCATAGATATGCTGTTTCTAATGTCAAAAGGGTGGCCATTGCTCATCTTAAAAAGTATCCTCCTTCTGTCTATCTTGAATCTCCCCAGATTCAGTGTCACTGTATGATGCTTGGTTCTAATGCTGTAAGAAGAGGGGTGACATTTTTATTGCTCAACCTCCTGATTATTTTGGTTGCCCATTTCTCTACCTTTTCCAGCTTACAATGACCAGATAGTAAAAGAAAATATGCAGGGGTTGGACTTTGGGAATTAAGAGGACATCCAGTCACATAATCAATCAATCAATTTATCTATCTTTATTTGCGGTCTCCGACCCATTAGGATACATACATGTAATATTTGAAATAAATGGAAACAATTAAAACATCAAGATAGCTAAAACAGTTAAGTTAATAAAATAGGTTAGCCATATATTGTTTTTTATATTAATATTATATACAATCAGTCAATCTTTATTTGTGGTCTCCGACCCAATAGGATACATACATGTAATATTTAAAATAGATGTAAGCAATTGAAACATTTCAAGATGGCTAAAGAAAAAACACAAAATAGCTTTCTGCATATTTTGGGCTGCTTGGATTTTGGATTGTCTACGGGCAGCCCAGGAAAGTTTATGGTGGAATATCATAGTTAGATACTTTAGCTGTTTTACTTGCTCAATGCAGGTACCATTAATTGTCCAATTTCCTGGTGTTACAGACTGAGCAAAAACCATAATTTGGGGTGTAACAAAATTTATAACCAATCGGTTGTTCTTACAGTAGGTCATAAATCAGTAGATCAGCCGTTTAAGGCCTATTTTCGATAGTGAAAGAAGAACTGAGTCATCTGCATAAAGCCGTAGGGGGGATTTGGTCTCTGCCAATCTAGGAGGGCAGAAGTCTGTTCCACGACACCACCCAAGCAGATCATTTAAATATAGGTTAAATAATGTGGGGGCTAATATACAGCCCAGTCAAACCCTTTTATTAGCCTGAATAGGTTTTGTCAGGTTTCCTTCTGTACTACATTTAGCATGAAGTGTGGTGCCCTGATAAAGACATTTAATAAGATATAGGAGTCTCTTATCTATAGAGGTTTTGTATAATTTTGACCATAGAATATCTCTTAGGACAGAATCAAAGGCTGATTTTACGTCTATGAATGCAGTATAGAGCCCATTACCATGAGAGGACATATATTTCTCCGCAAGATGGCTCAAAATCATACAGTGACCGATCACTGATCTACCCTTTCTAAATCTTGATTGTTCCTTCCCCAAGATATTTCCCTCCTCTATCCAAGTAAGTAGTCTTTCATGTAAATGACTAGAGTACAATTTACCCAGCACAGTGAATAGACTGATTGGTCTGTACTTGGTTGGGTCTCCTTTTTCTCCTTTCTTAAAGATCGATATTATTATGGCTTCAGACCAAGCGATGGGAAATTTACCTGAGTTATTGATATGGGTAACCAAGTTTGCCAACAGAGGTGCCCACCAATCCATGTTAGCCTTTAGCATTTCAGGGAGAATGGCATCTGTTCCCGGGGCCTTGCCTGATTTCATACTTCTAATCAGGGTTTTTGTTTCAGTCACTGTGACCGGCCTCCATGGAGGAGTGTCATTTCAATTTACAGTTGGAAAGAAGTCTATTGAGTACTCTATAATGTCCCCGAATAGAGTAGACAAGTGCTGTTCTCAGATGTCCACTGAGATGTTACAGCTGAGCTGGTTCGAGGATGAGCTCAAGGTCATCAGTGACAAGAGCCCAAAAGAGTTTAGATTTTTTTATTTAAAGTGCATTCTATTAATGCATTCCATCCCTTTTGAATTGCTTGTCTCTTTTTAAGCACTATTAATTGTTTATATTTCTTTTTTATATCATAATATTCTGTGGGTAGTATGTTTAGGTTTTCCTTTCTATAGTTGTTATATACCTCTCTCAGTTGTTTTTTAACTACAGTGGTGCCTCGCTTACTGGGTGCTCCATTTAGCAATGAAATCGCTTAGCGACAGCTTTTTTGGAGCGATTTTCGCTTAGCGATGGTTGGGACCATGCTTCATATAGCGAGCAAATTTTGGGTCCCCTGTTTCGCTTAACGATGGTTTAAACAGCCTTATGTTTGCTGTTTTTTAAATATTTTTCTGTTATTTATAAAGTTAAAGTTTATTGTTTAAAATGTTTGAAATCATAAAGTGCACTTAATAAACCCCTTGTTAACCAAATGTGGCTTCGTTCTGACTCTTTTTTAATTTGTTGTTGTATTCCCCCCCCCCATTGAGATGCACTGAATAGGTATCAATGCATTTCAATTGGGGAACCGCGTTTCGCTTAGCGATGTTTCCTATGGCGATTTTCGCTTAAGGACAGCAATTCGTTCTTATTGGATTATCCGGTTTTCAATGCATTTCAATGGGAAACCACGTTTCACTTAGCGATGAAATCGCTTAGCAGCCATTTTTCGGAACCAGTTAACATCACTAAGCGAGGCACCACTGTACATAACATTCCCTGTCAAACCACTTGGGGCCGCTTATCTTTAATGAGGCTTATGGAATCAGTTGTTTGGAGCTTAGTGCCGTATTCATCACATTGATTAGGGTTGAGTAGTTATTTATAGTAGTAGTGGCATTTGTGGCTCCTATGATTGAATTTTTTAGGGACTCTTCCTCAGCAGAGCCAAAGAAGCCTTCTAGCTTATTGTGGGTTTCCTCAGTCCAGTGTATTCTCTTTTGTTTAAAGCTTAGAAATTTATCTTGGAGATGAGGTTTTGTACTCAGATGGACAGACTGCAAAAGTAGGAGGGTGGTATTAAGGGGCAGATGGTCACTATCCAGCCTTAGGCCTACAGAAAATGCTAGTACCTCTCTAGATAAAGAATGGATGATTAGCACAAAATCTACAGCACTGCTTCCATGTCCTGATACATTGGTGAATTCAAGGCATTTGTCATAGCAGGGGTTCCCATTAATATTATAAGACCAAGGCGAGTCACCATTTGGATCATACAGATGCCACCATAATTTACCTTGGTATCTTTGGACGTTCTACTGTAGCTAGGGGCAAAGATCTCATTTTTAACTACCCCCCATAAACTAGAAGAAAAGAGTGTGTTGTTATTTGAGCCTAATCTTGCATTAAAGTCCCCCATTATGAATAGCTGGGCTCTAGAGAGTTTGCATTCCGGTCCTATTGTATAATTTTCCAGGTCTTCCCAAGCTTGTTTTATGCTTTTTGGAGATGAGATGTGTGGGATATAAACACTGACCAACAAAAGAGTCTTAGGCCCAAAGGCTACATGGCTGGCCATTGCTATTTTCCCACAAGTGGGGAGCCAGTTGACAGATGCCTGGAGAGAAGTTGATATCTATACTGCTAAACCTGCTTTAGGTCTACCTTTCCTTTTGGTGGTCTCAGTGGGTATATCATGTAAGCATATCCATTTAGCTTGATTAGCTTGGTGAACCATGTTTCTTGAATAAAATTATATCATGAGACCTCAGATGTTCCAGAAAGTTGGGATTATTTTGCTTTGAGGTCCAACCTGCTATGTTCCATGAGATAACTCTGAGTGTTATCATGTGTTGCATTCAATACCTCCCCTTTATTCCATGGATAGCTTTCAGGTTGTGTGGGACAGATTCTAGCTATGGTGTCATTATGCTGTAGGGTTTGTCATTTTATCTCAATAATATCAGGTTTCTCTGGGCTTCATCTAAGGGTGCCTTGGCTATCAAGCACAGCTTGGGATGGTTCGCAGGCAATGTCAAGTTAGAATTGAGTGTCCTTTTGTTTATTGTTACCATGGACTCCAGAGGGGGTTTAACTCTATCCTTAGTCTGGGTCATTTTGCCTATCAATTGAGTGGTCTTCTAAAAATTGAATAAGATCTTCCTCAGTGTGCTTCTCCTGGACACTGGATTCTCCCTTTCTGTTTCCCTTGCATACTCACTTAACGGGATAGTGGGTGTGCTATGTTTTGGAAGTACCTAACGACTGTTATACCTCTCGCGGCTAGTTATTTTCTTCTGCCATAAATCCTATTGGTTATTATACTATCCTTACATTTTACAATTGCCCATGCGTGGATAATTGTGGAACAAATATTGCACATTTAAAATTTGAGATGTGGAGGTTAATTCAGGGATTATGGGTTCTAAGATATTTACCAGATTCCATTTGCGCTCATTCTGTGTAAGTATCCCTTTTCGTTTTGGGTATCCACAGAAAGCTAAAGTGTGAGTCATTAGTCTCAGCTTCCATGCTGCATTGTGCTCAGGCTTTATCGGAGGGATTATTGATTGAGTGTTCTTCTCTATATTGCTCTTTAGCACATCAATCCAGGGGTTATATCCCACCTCATCTATACCATTCTCACTAATAGCCTGTATGGTAGAGGTGATTGCTGTTTAATGTGTGTTTACCATTCCCTTTCTTTTGAGGGCACCCTGAGACAGTGCAGTCTGCACAAGGACACATAGGCTGTTTCTCTCAGGAGGCACAGTAAGGACTTGAACTCTCAACCTCTGGCTCCACCGCCAGATACCTAGACTACTGAGTATCCAGTCAGTTAAAGCCAAGTTAGTATGGTTAATTTCAAATATTTTCCCATTCTGTATCAATATATTTAAGTACCAATAATCAAGTCTTAAACTCAATGAGGACTGTCACTACTTACCTGACATATTTTCTCTTTTTCTACGCTGCAGCAGCATTGCTCTTTCTTTATCTAAAGTCCTTTTTTTTAAAAAAGGAAAAGAAATGAAGCTGAAAATGAGCAGTAATACGGTTGACCTTCAAAAGCTAGCAGATGAATCCTGCATGCTAAATGCTAAATATATATAGGCATGTTAAATATATGACAATTTCTACAATTTAACACGGAAATTCTGAAAAGGAGTGTTGTTCCTGATACAAAAACCAAAGCAAAGCAATCAGATTAATATGATCACATCTGAATCCACCCACCCCTCTTCTGTTGCAGCATTGTTTCGGAAGAGTAACATATTTAGTACATTCATGCAGTATTAAAATTTTGAAACATATTGGCTTAGATCTAGTATTAAATCAAACTATAGTAGGACCACGCAATCAGTGGGGATGTGGGGAGTCGACACCTATGTAAGTTTTAATGATTCAATGTGTCTACCCTAGTAGTAATTTACTATTGGAGTTTACCCCTATAACAGTATGTTATATTCTATGCAGCATCCTAGGATTCCTTCTTGATCAAAACTTATAGTAGACATTACGTAACTTGTACTCAACAGTTCAAAAAATAAATTTGGATTGTTTCCATCCCTTTGACTGCTTCCACCTCCACATTTACTATGGGATGGCTACCTTACGCAAACCCTGTTCTTGAATGGACACTAAAAGCTGTTTCAACTATATCTTTACCTTGGATACTTTTTTAGGAGACAGTCAGGGTAAAAATATTTTAAATAAAATAAAAATGTTTAAAAATCTCCTTCCTCTAAGTGATGGTAAGTGGAAAGCCAGTTGACTAACTTTCCATACACTTCGGTCCTCTAACCTAGCCATTCTCAATATAGGCCATATGGCCCTTGGCACATCTGAAGGGGGCAATAGACTAGAAACAATTCTTCACACCATCTTATAAGGTTCATTATGCAACTTATGCAACCCTGTTTCGACCTATATTACTTTCATATTGTGTTAATGGCCCTGGCCACAAAAAAGGTTGAGAATGGCTGCACCCATGGATTGTTGTTCTTTTCACTCTCAAGGGCAAAGAAAAGAGAGCCAGGGATAAAAGCTGCAGTTTGGAGATTTACTTTTTCATCTTGAACATACTTTTGTACACAATGTAGAGTTGATACACATATAAAAACTTTATTCACCATCTCCACTGTGACAACTGAATTTTCAATTTATTAAATCTATGTTGACTTTTAAAAACAATGTACAGGTAATGTACTAATAAATTAATTTTTAATTATTATAAAATACAACCTGATTTATTTAAAAAAACAGGTTACTTACTTGTAACCATGGTTCTTCGAGTGGTACTCTGTGAATCCATATGAATGGGTTAAACCAGTGGTTCTTAACCTTGGGTTACTCAGGTGTTTTTGAACTGCAACTCCCAGAAACCCAAGCCAGCACAGCTGGTGTTGAAGGCTTCTGTGAGTTGCAGTCCAAAAACACCTGGGTAACCCAAGGTTAAGAACCACTGGGTTAAACTACGCCTGCGCAGGACTCTTCGGAATATTCTAGAGTTTAACTAACTAACCAACAGAACGTTTCCCTGTGGCATGCATGCTCCGCCCACCCGTAGTACCTCAGTTCCGAACGTCTGCCGCTGTCAAGACTCTGATAATTAAAAGATGTAGACAACCCATGACGGATAGCAGGGACGTTGGGCGGGACATGTGGATTCACAGAGTACCACTTGAAGAACCATGGTTACGGGTAAGTAACCTGTCTTTCTTCTTCGTGGTCTCTGTGAATCCAATGTCCCACCCACAAATGGGTGATTAGCAAGCTCACTTACCGGAAGGAGGGTTGTCACAGTAAAACTGTAGTCAGCACAGCCCTTCCAAAACTTGCTTCCTTTTTGGCTCTGACATTCTGCCTGTAATGTGTCACAAAGGTGTAGACCAAGTAGCTGATCGACAAATGTCAGACTTCAATGCCATGTAGCCAGGCAGTAGAGGCTCTAGTGGAATGCGCCTTCAATACATCTGGTGGGGTTTTGCCAATCAGCTTATAGGCTAAAGCGATGCCAGAAACTATCCATCTGAAAACTGTTTGAGAAGAAACTGGGTGACCTTTCCAAGGACCGTAGAAGCAAACAAACAGTCTGGGAGATCTGCAGAAGTCCTTGGTTCTAGAAATATAAAAGGCCAAAGCCCGAGGAACATCAAGAGAATGGAGCATGCGATCAACATCGGAAGAAGGGTTAGGAAACAATGTTGGGAGGATCAAAGGCTGATTAACATGAAAATTCGAAATCACTTTAGGAAGGAATGAGACATCAGGACATAAGACAACCTTATTTGAGTGAAATTGTATATAAGGCGCATCAGCCCGCAGTGCAGCCACTCACTCGCCCTTCATGCAGACGTAATAGCCACCAAAAACAAAACCTTAAGAGAAAGAAGTTTAAGAGGAGTGGAAGCCATAGGTTCGAATGGTGTGCATGTAAGGGCCCTAAGACAGTCTGAAGAGACCACTGAGGAATTGAAGGTTGTACAGGTGAACGAATGTTATTCAAACCTTGAAGGAATCTCTTCACAGTCGGGTGTGAGAATAAGCAGGAAGTGTCTGAACTGACAGGCTGATAAGAAACAATGGCTAAAATATAAACTTTCAGTGTAGAATGCACCAGTCCTAGATCAAACAAATAATTAGGAAGGCAAGAAGGGTACCTAAAGGAAGTTGGAACAGTGACATCACCTCTGGACTCAGCAAACTTGATAAAAACAGACTACTTATAAGAATACAGTAATTTGGTTGAAGGCTTCTGAGCTCTGTTGAGCACCTCCTTTATACTGGGAGAATCCTTCACACTGTAAGATGGAGTGAATCGACGTTGGGGAGACAGTCCCATCTTGCCTCCATGCTGAGTTAGGAGGAATGGTTGGGGAGGCAGTGTGAGGAAACTGGACATGATGGTCTTGAGGGTGGTATACCACAGTTGATGAGACCACCATGGAGCTACCAGGATGGCATCAGCTCGCAACTGGAGGATCCTGACAATTGTCCGTTGAATAAGCGGGATGGGAGGGAAAAAAATAGAGAAGGACAGCATCCCATGTCACCATTGCCCAAAGAACCGTTTCCTCTCCTTGCTCGAGAGCAAACCTTTTTGCACTTTGCATTGATCTGAGTTGCAAAGACATCGATGGCCAGTGTGCTGCACCTGCTGCAGATATGGGCAAACACAGAGTCGTTAAGAACCCGAGTGGCCAGGCGGCTCAAGTGATCGGCCACATCGTTGTCCTCTGTTGACACATGGATGGCAATCGGAAATATGTGATGATTGTAGCACGACTCCCACAGGTGGATAGCTAAGTACAGAAGGGACAAAGAGTGAGTGCCTCCCTGCTTGTTTATATAATACAGAGTGGTTATGTTGTCTGTAGCCACTTGCATTCCGCAACCAACCACTAGAGGATAGAAAGCGCGAAGAGCCTTGATTACTGCCAAAATTTCTAGAAGATTGATATGAAGCAGCTTCTTTGAGCTGGACAACAAGGCGTGGATCTTGTGAACAGCACAATGTGCACCCCAACCTGTCCTGCTGGCGTCTGTCGTGACCTGTACTGTCAGTTGAAGGGGCTTGAAGGGTTGACCAATTAGAAGGTGCAGCACGAAAGTCCCCCACGTCAGTTGATGTGATAACTCTGGAGACACACATAGACATTTGGCAGGGTTGTCTAATAATGGATTGAATTGAGACAGATACCACGTCTGCAGGGAGCGCATTTTCAATCAAGCATGAGGAAGAGCAGACGTGGTGGAAGCCATAAGGCCTAAAAGATGTTGGTTGTGATGAGCCAAACGGGTGGAATGGATGAATAGCATGATCCAATTTGTACATGCTCTCAGCAGGGAGAAGGACCCTGGCTCTGTTGGAGTCCAGAACTGTGCTAATGTAGTCCATGATCTGAGATGGTTGAAGATGGGACTTCGCAAAGTTGACCTGAAGGCCTAGATCTGCCAGAGTTTATGGAGTAAAACTTGGCACAAGAGCCAGCGACGATCAACCAGTAATCTATGTATGGAAAGACCGTGATATTGTTCAGACACAGGTAGGCCGCTACTGGGGCTAGGCACTTTTGTGAAGGTCCTTGGGGTGGTGGCAAGCTTGAATGGAAGGGTGCAGAATTAGAATACTGATTCCATGAAGACAAATCGAAGATATTTGCGATGACGCTCATGGATAGAAATATGAAAGTAAGTTTCCTGTAAGTCTATCACCACAAACCAATTGCCTCGAGAAAGCAGTGGAATGATCAACTCTAAGGTGACCATTCGGAAACACCTTGGACGAAGGAAAGAATTGGGAGGCCTGAGATCTAAGATTGGTCTGCCATCTTTTTTGGAAACTAAACTATTGGAAATAGAAGCCATTCAGTGTTTCTGGAGAAGAAACATATTAAATAGCATGTTTCTGGAGAAGAACAGAGACTTTTTCTAGAGCAGGTGAGTAAGCCGTGATCTTGAATTGACCAAGAGGAGGAAGATCTGAGAACTCTAACAGGTAACCAAAACGTAGGATGGTGAGCACCCAAGAATCTTTGGTGATGATAGACTACTTGCTGAAGAAGGAGGCTAGCTGGGGAAGATGGTATAGATCGATAGATGGGTTCAGCAGAAGACAGTCAAAGATATTGTTTATTCTCCTTGGCAGGGTGATGGAAAGTTTGTTGATGCTGACCAAAAGCCTGTGCTCGGAAAGAGGTGGCAGCAGAGGAAGATGGAGGAGGATTCAACCTTTCTTGAGCAGGAGGTTTGTATGGGCGATAGGCTTGATGATAAGGTTGATAAGATTGTTGTGACGTGAAAGTCTGCACCACTGATAATGTTGGTATCTGGGTTGCTGGACATAATAAGAGAGAGCTGTCTTCCGGATCTGATGTAAATTATCCATCACCTCATCCGTTTTCTCGTTAAATAGTCTGACGCCATCAAACGGAAGCTATTCAGTACAGGACCTAGCGTCGTTGTTGATGCCTACTGAGCGCAGCCAAGCATGCCTCCTGAGAGCAATGGCCAATATCATGGCCTTGGAAGCTGCATCAGCTGTATGACATGACAACAAACGTTGTTTGGCCAATGTTGTCGCTTCCAGGTGAGCGTTGAGAGCAGCGGTGCTAGTTTCTTCAGGAGCGGCTTGAAGAACTGAGAGAATCTTATTCCATAATTGTCTCTGATAGGTACCCATAGCTACCTGGTAATTAGAGACCCTCGTTATAAATGAAGCCAGAGAGTATAGGCGACGGCCCAGTACATCTAGTTTATGGCCTTCCCTATTGGTAGGAGTGACCTTAAAATAATTTCCCGCCCTCAATTGATTGGACTACACAATAATGGAATTAGGTGCAGGATGCTTATTGAGAAAGGTCATGTCATTGCCATGTGTACTGTAATGGTTTTCAATACGCCTAGAAATCTGAAGAGATGTAGATGGTTGATTCCACGATTCTTTAATGAGGTCCAAAATAGCTGGTATAAAAGCCACACTTAAAGGAGGGGATTTATCTTGGTTTATATCATCAAAAACAAGGTCCTGCTTGGGGGGGGGGAGGTTGGTCTATATCAAGTTCCAAAGATTTGGCCATGCATAGAATCAACTGAGAATATGAAGTAAAGTTTTCAGAGGGAGATGGGGGATGGGTATCAGCAACATCTGAATCCGGTGTAGGTAAATTTGAAGGGTATTCCCTGGATGCCTCCGAAGGTGGGTCTTGCTCAGAGACTGATGAAATCGAGGAACCTCTGGAACCTCTATTAAGAGACAGAGGCAGGGAAGGTAAGCGAGGGTGCGTTCTCGATATGGAGGCTGAAGCTTGGGAAATCGGTGCGGAAGTCTCAATTTTAGGTGCATAAGTGGCTCTGGAAGACGCAGTCTGATGAGATGACTGGACATGAGATGCTTTCGGGTGGGATACCAAGGGTAACGGTATCGATGAAGCCCGAGAGTGCTTCACAGGATGGGATGCTTGTTGGGCCTGTTGCGGGAAGTGGTGCTTAGTAGCAGGCTTTGAAGTCATAGGGTCAAGCTGGAAATAGGGTCGACGCCGACGCCGAGGCAGTGAAGGCAATGGAGATGACCCAGATGGAGAAGCATAAACATATCCCACCCTCTTGGGCCTGACATAATTGTCAGTGTCATATAAGGGATCGAGATCGCCCCCATGGTACCGACATCGACCACCGTGCCAAACAATTTCTATATAAAGCGGCTCTTCATACTCAGTGAAAGCATGACGTTGGGAGACCTCCCAATACTGAGGGAGCTGTCGGCCTGGAGAAACATGCCAACGTTTTGCAAGACGCTTACGCAGAGGGGATTGTTGTGGTGACACCTCCGAGTTCAACAGCTGAATCACTGTTGCCCGCCCGATTGAGACAGGGCTTGAATGGGCCTAGGCTGGGCTGGAGATTACATCAGCCTCAGAATGGCCATGACTCGGAGACAGCCTCGGAATTGATACCGAAGCCTGTGTCTGTGGTACAAAGCCATCCCTTCAGAGAGCGATTCGGGATCATGAAGCTCCCTGGAAGATTCCTCGAGTATCGGCGAGGGCAGGGTGACTCGAACTGGAGGAAGTTCCTTCAGTTGACCACACTTTGAAGGGTGTTTGACCTTTTTATGTTTAACTACTTCTTTTTCTTGGGATCTTTAACAGATTGCGACTTCGATGTTGATGCCGACCCCGCTGGAGAAGACATCTTCGACTTGAACAACTTCGAAGAAGCTCTCGAAGAAGGGGTAGCAGGCGCTGGTGAGGCAGCGGGATCAGGATGAGGGAGGAACAGGAAGCACGGTAGGTTTCATGGATGTCAAGCCTGATGGTGTTAACGACTTCTCCCAAAGATACGAGTGGAGTCGCTGTAAGAGGAGCTACAGGGCGGGCCTGGTTAATTTTTTACACTCTTGCCAAGAGTTGGGCTGGTGTCTTTCCCCCAAACAGAATAATCAGAGGTTGTGGCACTCTGTAAAAGGGATTTTGTTAGCATAGTGTTTGAACGGGCCTGAAGAGGCCATAAAATTTGGGCAGGAGCAGGTAAAGATGGGTGACAAGGAAAAGTAAGAAGACTCACGGGGACATTAACAATAGCAGTCCAGGATCAAAAACCAAGGAGTCAAGCTGAGAAGATCCAAATATAAAATCCAAATCCGTAATCCAAATCACAAACGGTAATCAGTCCAAAGGCCAAAAACCAGACACAATAATGGTAGCCAACCCAAAATGCAAGAATTGTAAATGAGGTCAGTCCAAGTTGAAATACACCAGATAAGAAAAACCATAGTCAAGAAAACAGTCCAGACAATTAGAAATTTTAAACAAATTGAAAAGCTCTAAGTGTCACGAAAGAGTCCAATTGCAGCGGTGGCAAAAAGGAACTGAGGTACCACGCGCGGCCAGTGCATGCGTGCCACAGAGAAACCTTCTACTGGTTGGTTAGTTAAGCTCTAGAATATTCCAAAGAGTCCTGCACAGGTACAGTTTAGCCCATTCATGTGTATTCACAGAGACCTTGAAGAAGAATCAGGATCTACTTTTCAGAATATATTTTCACTGAGGGTTTCATTTCATAATTGACAAATATATACTTGTGAGGGAGTTATTTTCGTTAATTCCAAAGATACTACAGTTTTTAATAGTAAGAAAGTAATTTTCAGTTTCATTTAAAAATACTAAATAGGACAAACTGCATAATAACTTGATTTTAGATATGAGTTTTAAACTATAAATCAACAATAATTTCCTGTTAGCTATATGCTACTCACCTAGGTTGACAACGCTCACAGAGGTATGTATCAGGAATATGTTGCCTGTCAATCCCCATACAATCAATGTGCTGCCAAACACTGAATTTATTTGAAAAAAAAAAAGAACGTTATTTTCACAAAGCATTAAAGTTTATAAAATAGCTTCGAGTTTCTCTTATTGCTGCTACAAGTTATTTCCCAAAATGTAATTCTATTACCCACTGAAATTCACTAATCCCTTGCCATCGGCTACTACGTACTTGAAAAGACTCCTCCTGCAACTATAGGACACTTCAAAAAGAAAAGGCAAGCTACTTCATTCATAGCCTTAAAAACACCAAGATATGCAAAGAAGAAGTGTATGCATGTCTCTTTGGCTGGCAAAGATTATTCAACAAAATTCACAACATGCACCTTGCACTGTAACTGAATTCATAAAGAATTTGAGAATCTTTAAAAATTCAGTTCCAAACGAAACTGGGGCAATATACACAACACAGCATTCCCAGCTACATACTACAATGAAAAAAATGGTAATGGCTTTGATTTCTTCTACATTTGCGTAATGCCCTGCAATACCTGTGACTAGTCTAAAACTAATTCACAAGGGAGGACAATGGCTCCAAGTAATGATGTCTATGGAAGACTAACATCAATAGTATATAGCAAAACATTTAAGAATCTGTGCATAGTTGAGATTACTTTACCTGCATTTGTCACAACAGATCATATATCCATCATCATGTGTAAATCCACAAATGCACCTGGTTATATCAGTTCCATAACTTCCATCCTCAGATGTGCTGATGGTCGTAGCACTGGAGGTCTCATCAAAATTCGGAGCAGTATATATGCCTACTTCATTCTTGCTTATAAGAACTGATGGAGGAGGAGAAGCTGGAGGTGTTGGAGGAGGGCGAGCCCCATAGTTATGATCCTGGAAAATGTACAAGAATGTCAACATTTTCTATATACTAGGGAAGAGTAACCTTTGTTGGGTGGGACGAAGGGAGGAGCCATCTTCCCCAGCTCTCCATAGACTGACTGATATTGGTTGCAAGGTCATGACCCCTGACATCAATGCCTTTGTCTACAGTGAAACTGTACTAACAAAGCACTTGTTCTTCACCCTTCAAACACTCAGGGAAATCTCTACTGTTCTCCCATCACTCAACAAAAGTAACATGCATTTTTCTCATTTTTACCTCCAGAGTGGGGCATGGCTGGAAACCCCCATGGGCTAGACGAGAAACCTTCGTGGGCTGGATTATATCCATAGGCTAGGGATATCGCCTGCAGGTTTTTAAGGAGCCAGTTTAAATATTCTCTCCATATTTTCTTTGTGTGGAAACACAGTTGCACAATTTTCAGATTACAAACTTTTTTTAAAAAAATTTTCATTCAAAGATCTGATAACATATACTGCACCAGTACATTATGCAAATAAAGTAGCCTGGTTTAAGATCACACAACCCATCCCAGAAAACCTGCAGGATTACTTATGTGGTTATGGAAAAGCTTTACTCCAACTGGTTCTATTACCTGAAGGATTTTGGTGTATACTTTCAGCTTGGTGTAGTTACTGATTTAGAAAATTATAAATGTAAGGAGCAGTGTATATACTAACAGTATTTTCATTTCCATTTTATTCATTCCTCACTATTAATGAGCACAGCAGTATTTTCTACAAATTTCTCCTGCTTACTTGGTTTTTAATATTCTCTTCCTGTCTGTACAGATGAAACAAGCATCTATTTATCACTAACATGTACATCGAACCTGTCAGGCATAATTAAGAATAATGCTAGTCAAGGCCCTACATATACACTCTCATTCTTCAATCATGACATAACAGAGCAGAGAAATTTATCTGAGCTGAATTTTAAAAGGAATGCTGACACAAAGCACATTCCATTTCTTAGCACCAATTGAGAATTTAGCTAGCAATGACAGATGCTAGAATCCTCAGCACTGCACATACATGATTCTCTTCAACAATAAGATGTTTCTTTTAAAAAAATATTTTCCCCATCTTCCATTAGGCACCATTAAAGCAAGACATTCTCTCTGATACAATACTCTGAAAACAAAACGAATCTCACAAACTACTATAATGAAGTCAAGCCTCATAGGATTAGGCTTAAATATTATACTAAAGTGAACCTTTGATTTGAACAGAAATTCATACAGTGGTGCCTTGCATTGCGACGTTAATTCGTTCCGCAAAAATCACTGCAGAACGAAAACATCGCTATGCGATATTTAAAAGCCCATTGAAACGCATTGAAACCCCTTCAATGCGTTCCTATGGACTTAAAACTCACCGTTCAGCGAAGATCCTCCATAGCGCGGCCATTTTCGCTGCCTCTTAAGCGAGGAATCCGTCCCTAAACACAGTAGGCGGCCATTTTGTTTACCCAGCAGCCATTTTGAAACCAACGATCAGCTGTTTTAAAACCATCACTTTGCAATGCTCGGTTCCCGAAGCAGGGAACCGAGCATCGCAAAGGGAAATTCCCCCATAGGGAACATCACAAAGCAATTGCAAAAAATGCATCGCAAAGCGATTTCATTGCTAAACGGAGCAATCGCTATGCGAGGCACCACTGTATTTGCCCTTAACTTCTTTAACAGTAAGAGTACTGAAAAGGCATTTGGGAAAGGTACCTCAAAATGCCAGATGCAGGGGAGTGGTATCAGGAGATAGGTATCTAGTTGCCTTGTGTGCTCCCAGAGGCATCTGGTGGGGCCACTGTGAGATACAGGAAGCTGGGCTAGATGGGCCCTTGGCCTGATCCAGCAGGGCTCTTTTGTTCTTATGAAACTGACCTAACAAACAGATGCTTTTGACCCAACAGACCCATTTGATTACAGCATCAAGCTAGCCAGTTCTACCTGAAAATATTTTAATTTTAATTTCAAATTTATTAAGGGAAAAATGTTTTATTCAACAAGCACAACAAACAGAACTCTAAATAAAAAGAATTTGGATCACATTTTAGAACCACAAGAAATGTAAACAAGGCTTTTCTATATGACGTTTTCTATATGAATTGTTTCTATAAAAAGTCAAAGAATCCTAACTAAATAAGATGCACTGCATGTTTTGTTTACTCAAGAACTATAAATGAAAATTTAAAAGAAACAGAACTTACTGCATAAGGCAAACCAATGTAACTGTGTGAATGATGAGAGCTGTTGTTATATAGCTGGTGTGGATAACTGTTTGACTTCTCAACTACCACAGGGCTAGCTTCTACAGATTCAGGTCTGAAAAACAAGTAGAATACTGCATTAAAATACTCTTACATTTCATTTATTTCTTTATTCATCAATCTTGAATATTTCACCACGAAAGAACAAGGTCTCAATGTACAGATTGAAGGGTTCAGAAGGACAAGGTATCTGCTATGGTACTCATTTGAAATTGCTGTATGGGTGTGAGCTATCAAGTGAACACCGCATCAGTCTGACAAACATAGACAACAATGTTGTGAAATACAACAAAGCAGCATAAAAATAATTGCAAGGCAGAAGTATACTCATATCAGTAAAAGCTATTGTTTCTGTGAACACATATAACATGCAGTAGCTTGTCCACATACTGTCAGGAGAATCGGAAACTTTCATTAATGACATCTAGTGGCAGCATAAGCAGAGTGACACAAGTTTTGACTTTTTGTTTTAAATACAATTTTGTGAGAGCATTAAGGCAAAGCTTCAAAGCAGAAGATGTTCTTGACTATTTTTAAGCAGTGTTCTAAAATAATCACTGGGGGGGGGAACCAGGTCCTGTTAATTAAGGCTCATTATAGCTGCTAAAATACAATAAACACAGAATTTGAAAATCCATATTTAGTATATGCAAAATTATTCGCTTTCCCCCCAGGATCAACTGACCCTTACCACATGCTGAAACAGAATTACTTAAAGCAGTGGTTCCCAAGCTTTTTTGACTCACAGTTCTCTTGACTTACTGGCCACTCCTCCCAGCTCTTCTAACATGATAGTTGGGGCGGGGGGGGGAGGGAAGAGAAGGGAGAAAGCCCTGCCTGAGTAGTACTTCCATGATGCCTCCAGCTGGCTTTGGTGGTGCCCCAGGGAGCCACAGTGCACAGTTTGGGAACCAGTGACTTAAATAATCCTGAAAAATATAACTTGTAATATAATTGTAACTTAAATTCATCCTAATTTGATAAAGTTTAACAAACATTCATCTTGTCGGTCACGTGCAGAAGTGAGTCAACTGAAACTTCACAACATACCGTTAAAAATGAGTAAAATGGAGCAAAAAACTGAAACAATTTGGCAAACTTGCAGTTATCCTACAATACTTACTCTGAGCCTGCAGCCATTTCCAAATATGAAGTTTGTGCTGTGTTAACCCCCAACGGGACCACTATGCTCATGACGTTCGTTTCTGATAAATTCGATTACTATGGAGTTCTGTGCATTGGTATCCAAAACACTGGGGCATGCCAGCCACAGTGCTCATTGCAAACATCTAAGTGCATCCACAAACTCTGTTTAACAAAAAAGGAAGCAAGGAAATATTAATTATTTCCAAAAGTTTGTTTTCCCCTCCTTCTAGTATAAATACAACATTCCTAAAGATTCAAAAACTTCACAACCTCACTCCGGTCTGCCCAGAAACAAAACTCAATGTGTTTGGTGGTGCTTGCAGTTTCAGTATGTAACATGAATAAAGTATGTTTAAACTATTTTCTCTGCCATATATTTCCTAATTTTGGTAAATTTAAGATAAATAGTAATTTTTGGTTAATAAATTTACACAGTATATGATAATAGACAGCAAAACCAGATGAAATGTTGCAAACAATATTAATTCAGAAATGTGGCTTCTATGTTAACTCATATATTAATGGAATAACGGGTTAAATGTTTTAAATTACAACAACTGAGAGTGGGTCTCTCTCTCTCTCTAGTAAGCAAACACAGTACAAACAGAAAAAACTGTTTAGGTAATGAAGGCTTGCCAACTAGTGACCTAAGATTAGCAGTCAACAATCATATACTTATACAGCAGTGGTCTCCAACCTTTTCTAAACTGCGGACCGGTTGGGGGTGGGGTCCATGCACAGGGGGCACACCCCACACTCACGGGTGGGTGGGGCTTGCTCAAGGGTGGGTGGGGTGCACTCAAGGGTGGTCAGGAGCGCTCGTGCACGTGCGGACAGGGCACCTGTGCATGCGTGTGGGCAGGCCATGCGTTAGTGGGGGGAGCGTATGCGGGGTGCGGGAGAGCTGGCTCCACGGTCTGGTCCTGCCAAGGCCATGGACTGGCACTGGGCACAAGGCCATGCACAAGGCCATGGACCGGCACAAGGCCATGGACCGGCACTTGGGGACCCCTGATAGACAGTAATTTACTCCAGCTTCTCCACCTATCTTACTAGGAGCAAAGGGAGAAGATTTCTCACTTTTTTGGCCTTGTCAGTTTCAGACACTTTGAATCCCCACCCCCTTTCTGCAGAAACTACTGTATATGACAAAATTAGATGCAGAAATTGGATGGAATCTTCAGAATTTCCAAGCCCTATCCCAAGCTAAAAAGGACCATGCTCGATTTAAATGATCAATCCAGAGTAGGATCCTAGCATGACTATTGTGAATTATAGTTCTGCAGAAATCAATGGAATTCCAGCTGAGCATACTTCAGATCGCCACAAGCCACCGATCCTACAAGACGTGGCAGTAAAATTCAAAGAGGAAGGGAATATCTTAATAAAAGTTCTACTGGGCTTATGCTAACACAGCAATCAGCAATCATCTTGTATTTACAGTATTTTTTTTCCTTTGATTTCTCTCCCACTGGAACTTTAGTAAGTAGGTTAAGACTATTAGTACAAACACTGTCCTCGCTGTATTATATGGGGATCAAAGAGACAATTCATTCACAACATACATCCTAATCCGCCCCTTTTTGCCACTGCTGACACTAGTGCTGGAACTGGTGAACACAGACCTCAGCAGTTTCTACAGGCTGTGGGGTGAATCTGTATCTTCTCTTCAAAGGGCAGATGTTTCCTTCTGCTCTCATAGGAGATCCAATAATCTATTCTATGTGCCCTGAATACCTTCTAGGGACTACAGAAAAGCAACCCAAATTGGTTACATTGGAATTAACAACGTGTAGTCCATAAACCATTATATGGCTTACAACCCCGTCCCCTTGCCCCTTTATAATTAATTATTAAATTAAATTACTAATTTAATTAAAGGCTGCTGACTAGAGATGGGATATTCTTATGTTTCCTGGGGGAAACAAATACAGTGGTGCCTTGCTTAACGGGTGCTCCGTTTAGCGATGAAATCGCTTAGCGATGACTTTTTCTGAGTGTTTTTGCGCTTCATTTAGCAATGGTCCCTATGGGCGATTTTCACTTAGCGATGGTTGGGACCATGCTTCGCATAGCGATTAAATTTTGGGTCCCCTGTTTCGCTCAACGATGGTTTAAACAGCCTCATGTTTGCTATTTTTTAAATGTTTTTCTATTATTTATAAAGTTAAAGTTTACTGTTTAAAATGTTTGAAATCATAAAGTGCACTTAATAAACCCTTTGTTAACCAAATTTGACTTTGTTCTGACTCTTTTTTAATTTGTTGTTGCATTTTTCCCCATTGAGATGCATTGAATAGATTTCAATGTATTTCAATTGGGGAACCGCGTTTCGCTTAGCGATGTTTCCTATGGCGATTTTCGCTTAAGGACGGCAATTCGTTCCTATTGGAATGGATTATCCGGTTTTCAATGCATTTCAATGGGAAACCGTGTTTCGCTTAGCGATGAAATCGCTTAGCACTGATTTTTTCGGAATGAATTAACATCGCTAAGCGAAGCACCACTGTACAAATATCAGCACCACAGGTGGCCAAGCCAATTGGACCCTCCCCTGGAACTGGGCCATCCATTTACTATGTGCAGCCTGTTGCTGTTCACACCGCGCAAATCACAGAAGTAGCCTGGCCAGGGCTTCCCCACCTCTTTGCACTCCTGACCAATCCGGCAAGGAGGCAGAATGACATGTTTCCCCACTTAGCTGCTAAGTGGTCTGCAGCGAATGGAAGTAGGCAAGCCCTGGCCAGCTACTTCTGTGATTGGAGCCGCATGAATTACAATAGGCTGTGTGCAGCACACCTCAAGTGGTAAGTGGATGGCTTAGTTTTGGGGAGAGTGGCCTGGCCACCTATGGTGGCAATATTCATAATCTTTTCCCCCAGGAGAAGAATATGAATATCCAATCTCTATTGCTGACATATGACAACATTTCCAGAGTTCTCTACATACAGAGTACTCAGGAGAGGTTTAGTATTCTTTTCTTCTGAGGGTGCTCAGGGCCTGTATAAGCTTGCCCAAGACCATACAGGCTGGCTATTCTGTGAGATACAGATGAGAATCAAACTCCTACCCTCACACTCAGATACCCAACTCAATGAGATATCTAAGCCAGCATCAACTCACTGAGCTATTCATTCAGTTATTCACCTCTTCATATAGCCTCAAAAACTTAAGCAATTAGTTTTTCAAAAAGAGACAAACATTGCTGAAAAAGTCTTCTGTTGTCTTCTACAGGGTGGGGAGCAATTTTCCATGTTATGGGGGATTCCAAAAACTCCGAAATGTTTTCAGTTTTTTCTGAGTCACTAAAAGAAGCAAGTGGTTTTTTGGCTAAGTCCCACTTATTTTGAGCTAAACACATTTATCACTTAACAAAAAAAAAAAATCATATTCTGACATTTTTAAAATGCAAATGAACCTTTTTGATCAAGCACCTCCCCTTTGGCCTCCAGACTGCAGCCCTTAGGTTATGAGAAAAATTTGAAAACTGACTTGCAGCTCCACTGACACTAGTAAAGAATGAATTATTATAAGCCTATTACAGCCTATTACAGCCTTTATTTACAAAAATGCTACCTCAACAACCCTTTTGGGAAAGGCTTTACAGCTTTATTGTAGGTAGGGTTTCTTATGCTCCTTTGAAACAATACGCTATCTTTTAGAAATCCTGGTGTTTAGGACATTACACTTAGTTCTAGCATATCAAAGAAACGTTAATTGCATTGCAGGTAGATGCATTATATAACAAACAATCATAATATTCTTTTTTTCTCCACTGTTCATGTCAGAAGCATCACAGTACAACTAATATATCAGATAATTTTCATCCATAATACATTTTGAGGGGCACAAATGCGGATCCTGCGTTTCACTGACTTAGAATTTCTGTCAATAAGCTTTTCACATTTTAGAGCAAGGTCTTATTCCACCACATTAAGCATAAAAATTCACTAAACCCACCACCCCCCATTTAGACAACAGTCTCCAGTTTTAAGATAGGTATGGAACAAGGTAAACACATCTAAGGTGTTTGAACTACTTAATTGCTTACCATCTGATCTGCTCTGACTGACTCAGAAGGAATGAAACTGAAACATCTGTCACAAAAATGCAAACAGAAAAGGTTGATTTTCTAAGTAGAAAGAATCTGAAGAGACACTAGTTATTTTAGATGTGAACATGTATTACAACAAAGTTATAGCCTTATAAACTTGTTCATGCTTAGACTGAAAACAAAGGGAGACATCTGTCATGACTAAAAATGGGCATGGACCATGGTTTTGGTTCATCATTTGGACAAAAAGGTGTTTGCCACTTCCCAGCCCTGCCTTCTCTGGTGGGTGCACAACTCAGAGGCAGAGCACACAAATCAAGATGCTGGTGGAGACAGGGCAGGGAAGCAGCAGTTCACGCCCCTTTCTAGTCATGACTAATTTAAATCCCAATAATTTTAATGGGCCTACTAGTATTTAGTATAACCAAATCAGAATTCAACCAATGGTTTTAAATGACCTTGATGTTTAATAAATGTAGCAGCATTCCATTAGAACTACAAAATGTGCTTTTGGCTCTTTCTATCTCCACCCAGTGTGCATATGAAATATAAGCAGAAGTGCCATAATTACTGTATAGCTAGAATCTTGCCTGGGTGCAATGACGTCTAGCCAACCAAAGTACTACTTAAGAAATAAGTTGAGTGTTGTCTCTTAAAATAGTGAGTTTACATATACAACTTTTAATTGCAAATCATTATGCTAAGAAATTCTTCTGTATCTGTGTAATCTTTAACATGCATTTTGCACATTAATACAGCAATTGCATATCACAAAAGCTATGCCTCCCTCCATATATCAATACTGTACTAGGAAAATGAGTAAGATGCCTGACAACTTCTTGATAAAGAGAGAGAGTATCTCCATGGACAGGTGACCTACTGAAAGACTGTGGAAAGGACAGTGCATACTGTTTCTTACTATCTATGTCAAACATTTTTTCATAATTCACTTGAAAAAACAATCAACCTCTGCTAATTAGATTCTGAGTTCATTAGAACTCCTAATCAGACAAAGAATCAAAAACACATTCACCCATCCATCCATCCCAAGACACTGAGGACACCAAATCTTGACTCACTTCAATTGAACTTATGGGCCTACTGAACAATCAATCCCAGCAGACGTCTGTAAGAAACAGCTCTGTAAATCAGCCATCAATTTTACTGTGGCCATTACAGAATTTTCAAAACCCAGTCCATTTCCAATCCATCTATTTCCAATGCATTTGTGAAGCGTTATGGGCCAATCTAAGTCATTAAGAAAGATATCCTGTGCTGCATTAAGTTCTAATCCCTAAGGAATCCTACTAGATACCTCTTTCCAGTTTGATGATGATCCATTCATTACTACTGTCTGGATGAAGTTGTTCAAGCAACTGGAGTAACTCATCTTTATTACCTGAAAGCAACATGCATTTCATAACCATGTTGTTGATGTTAAAATGCTCTAAAATGTTAAAATTAGTCTATGCAGCTATATTGATAACAATAAGTTTTCATCTAGTCATGGTCTTACAGTCAACCCAAACATTTCAAACAAAGAAATAGAAAATTAAAATAGATACTGGTATTTACTATGTTTCAGTATACTGTACTGGAAAGCAGGTTTGGAACTAAATTTGCTGATGGACTTTTATGGTAGAGGTAGCATGAGGCTGCAAGCCAAGGCAGCAGACACAGGCTTCTTTGTGTCAGGCAGCACCGGATATGGATAGAAGGTGGAAGGAGGCAATCAAGTGAGAAAAATGCAGTCTGGAAGCAATAAGAGTATGTAGAGCCATTGCTAGCTAAGAGTCTCCTACATCTCCATTTTCCATTTTAACTTCATTCCACGCCCAAAACAGATTTTGGCAATGAGGCCTGAATCCGATCCAGATTCCCAGCATCAAAGAAATGAAGGAAAAGTACAAAACACATAGGGTGACGATAGAAGCACAGAGTCTTCATACAGTTATTCAAACCCTGGATTGAAAAACTAGAATCTACGACCAAATTTAGGTGGTTGGGAATAAGTTACAATGAGCCTCATATGTTCACTCTCCCCATCTTCTTCTGCAAACAAGAGGAGAGCAATAGCTTCTGTTTGCACTTTACAGCAAAGCTGCAGTCACCATTATGAGATCTAGGGTTGTATACTATGGTAGGTAGAATATTCTACTAGGACTCAGGAGACCTGGTTCAAACCCCCACTTTGGCAAAAGAAGATTCACCAGGGAAAGGGGGGAGTAAAAGTACTTCTTAAATATTTTGCATACCTTGAAAAACCAACTAGGGTCACCACAAGTTGAAATCACCTTGATGGTAGTTAACACACCGTTTCAAATTACATAAAAATTTAGAGAAACGTGGCGTGTTCAAAATAAAGTTAGTTAAAAATCTGAAACCCAGTTTGACTCTAGCTGAACTGGAACAAACCACAGTCCCTCAACCTTTACTCTCCTTAACTCGAGTATTGGGGGAGAGGGACATGTCTAATGTCATAGTTAACTGCAATCAGGATGGATAAAAATATTTAAACATTGAATTTATTTAAATCATGATTTAAATCAAGTCCGTCTTGATTGCAATTCATTCAGGATCACATAAACCATGGTTTTAGTTACATATTTGTATGTAACCAGAGCCTCTTTCATTCATTCTCATTCTCATTTACAGTAGAACTATTCAGAGCAATTCTGAACTGGAGACAGATCAGTCAAACCCTGTAAACCTTTCTGGGTAGTTTGAGAACCACATTTCATCTGGCTTCAACCATAAATACCCTTTTCTGCTTTCCTATTATCATATTTTCCTACTTCTTATATAACATCCTCAAGGAAGAGACAGCCCAGTTTGTCATTAGACATTAAACCAAAGCTTTTCAGTTATGATTCACAAGAAAATGGATGGAATGAGTGACTGGAGTTCCCCCGTACATCAGAGCTCTGGAAACTGGTTTGTTTATATGACTGTCAATAAACAAGCCAGAATAATAAAGAATTTGATCCTGATTTGTTTAAGCCAAGAAGGCATAGTAAGCCCCACAGGCTACATACAGCCTGCAAGTCATTTTTTTTTTTTGCAGCCGCCCAGTATTACTTTTAAAAAACCCAGTCTCACCTGCTTTTCAGCTATCTGCAACTATTTTATACACAAACCACCTTGTTTACGCATATTAAGCATTTACTTCTTGTTTTCAGCTTCTTTTCATCTAAATTTACCTGACTGGTTCAGGAAATCTGGGTTAATTTTTAGATGGAAACTAGGAGGTAAATTAGCCCAGAAGTATTTGGCCCAATTCAAGACTTATTGAATCTGAAATTCTGTGGGTACAGAGTGTTAATGCAATTAAATAAGATATATAAAAAGTAGCCCTGAAAATGAAAGTGTTTTTAAAATTGAGGCTTGAACAATAATTTACTGTATTCATTGCAAAACACTTAGCTGATTCTCCAGTCGAGCAAGGTTGATGTATCATAATATCCCGACAATTGAACTGTTTATGATACAATATGTAAACATGAAGGTGGTGACTGTAGGTCCTATAGCTCACACTTTTTGTAGTTCTAATACCTTGGAATTATAATATTCTGATATTCTAGGACTTTGATGTGATACAGTCTCATTCCGCTAACCTTTGCAAAAATTTTAGTTGTAACAATGATGTTATTGTCATAATGGCAGTCTGCCAGATACTAAGTTATAAACCTCTAAAGTTACAGTAGGTGCAGGGACAATTGGGATTCTTACTGAAAATGTTTTTTTGGACCTCCAGACCCCTAGAAAAGATTGCTTACAGATTGAGAAAAGGTGTGAACATCTGAAAGAATTATACATATAAGCAGATAGCAGACACACAAATTCATCACATTATTGCACCTCCACACCACTTTGACCACCAAACATCAAAGAACAACAATTGTATAGTAGCACACCAGCTTCATTTCCAAAAATCAACAACAATCAACATAGATTTCCTTCCATAGATGCAAATTGGGACAAGGCTGGTGTGGCTGGGTGAGGACAATATTTAGATTTTTTTCCTCTGTGAGTTCTTAATAAGCCTAGAGGCTAAGAAAGTCATTTTCTTAATGTATTTTTATTCGTAAGAATGTTTGCATTTTAGAGTTTATTGTCAGCCCTTTGATTTTTTATTGTGCCATTTTAAGCTACAAGCTGTTGCATTTTTAGAATGTAACTTAAATATTCTTGCTGTTCTTTTTTATTTTTAAAATATTTTTAAAAATTGAAATCTGACAGGTATTTGCCTGCAACTTAAATTTAATTTTCATATATTTTTAAAGTATTTGTGCCTATACTTTTTCATACTTCTAGGACTTATTGATGTTTTCAAACTTTGAAGTGTTTTGTGCTTATAGAATATAGAAGCAATGTAGATAAATAAAGCTTGTAGAATTGCACATGCTGATGTTGCCTGGAATAACTAAAAGGACATACCTTCACAGATGAATTCCAATATGATTGGAAATGCCTGGTTTCACTCTGGAATGGAATTCCTTCTGGTGTTGTTTTTATCACTTTTAGTGTAAGAGTTAGCTTGTATACTTACGGCTTTTAGCTTTAAATATTGTTTTCAACTGATATACGCTGACTTGGATCATTTTTAAGGAGAAAAATTGGGCAAAAATATTTTACATAAATAACCCTTAATTGGGATAAATGCCAGCTGTGACAAATACAGGCTTCTGATTTTTCCATAGAGGTCTATAAATTTCTTTAGAGCTCTTTGCGGGATATTCAGGTACCAGATTCATTGACCTGACAAATCATTCACTGCAAGTGAGGGGGGAAAAACCTTAATTTTTACATAAAAATTATTGCCAATAACAATATAAAACTACTAAATGAGTATAAAATAGGTTAAGTACAAGAAAGTTGAAGATAAACCAGAAGAGTAGCTAAGAACCATGCTACTGTCCCTAACCCCAAAAGGCAGACTGCACTGCATTTCCACTGGGGGGGGGGTTACAACCCTTGGGCTGCTGGTTAAATTTGAATCTAACCACTCCGTTTAAAGTGATCATAACTGAAATAAAGCAGAGTTCTTCATATTAATAAACCAAAGTTAAGTAACAGAACAGAAATAAATTATCTGATGCTTACCAAGCAGCAAGGAGAAAGTATGCAACCGTGAAGTTTGCCACATCTAATGTTTATAATGCAAACCAATGGTTTAGCTTTATTTTGAGTCTGTCCCAATAAGTTCAACTACAGATTTCAAGGAGTTCCTTTGTACTGACTTCCAATTCCAATTAAAACTAAAACAGAACATGTTTCCCTTATTCCCTCTGTCAAGATCATGGTCTAACCAAATAAGCTAAAAAAGATCCTGTGTTAGCCTAACATTAGCCAAAGATCATATTCATTCTCAAAATAAATTAAATAACCACCTGTTTTTATACTGACACGGAACTGCTAGTATCTGATGCTTCTCAGCACACTACAGAATCTGGATAGGATTCAACAACAAGCTTTCATTTTTCTACTCTTTCCCAGATTTCTAGTCCCAAGAAGCCTTTCTGTATCCATTTACCTCCCTAGGAATTTCTAAATATTTGGCAAAGTAAACAAGTGTTACCTAGGATTGTGAGGTACATTCTAGCAGAAACATTTAATTTATACCAGGATACATACAGAGCTTTTTGGATTCCATTGCCCTATATGAACTGAGAATGTAGAGCAAAATGTGCTCAGCACTTTTTTGCAACTCAGAACTGCAGTCTAGTAACCATGAACTTTGATCAAATGTCTTTCAAGACAAGTTGTGCAGTATCACTCATCTTCTCACTGAAAAAGCTCAGGGCTCCTCAGAAAATGAAAAAATCAACTACACTTTATAGTCCATAGCTGATGCAGTTTCAAAGGGTGCAACAGAGAATCAAAAATAGACAAAAATGAGAGCAGCAGCATATAAATCCCAATATTTTTTTTGCAACAGGTATATACTTTACATTAAACAACTGAGCTACTGAGAAGGGAATCCCTAATCTTGACAGAATGGTGACTCCATCTTCTAAATCAACCTACAACAGCAATGAGGAAAGAACTAAAACATATAGAAACAGAGTACTGCTTACTTACAGAACCTTTAACATTAAGCCAAATGGAAAACATTGTCCAGAATTCTTAAGTTTAATATTTGTTGCTTAACCTTCAGGGCAAAAGATTTTTAGCATTATTCTTGTAAAAAGGAAAATACACCTCCATACATTAAATTAAAAGTAGAATCAGAAGTGTTAGGATAATAAAAAGGCCACCTATAAAAACAAAACTGAAATAGACAGTCCTGTGTGTCTGTTCTGGGCTGTAAGGTCAGAACAGACTTACAGTGACCCTAGCAGGGCTTTCAAGGTAAGAGAGATATTTAAGGAGAGGTTTTACCAATTTCCCCGCCAACCT